TCATTTACAAAGTCACACAAACAGAAAAGAGTGAGGTAGGCAGTGTATATATAGGGGAGCAGGACAAGGATGGGAACAAGAGAGGGAGAAGAGGAAGTAGTGGTAGTGGTAAGGTAGGTAGTGGAAGTAGTAGTAGAAGAAATAGTGGTAGTAGAAAGTAAGGAGAGTAGTTTAGTGGCACAAGAGAGAAAGGGGAGTGAAAGGTGAAGAGAAGCAAAAGTAAAGGTAGTAGCAATAGTAGAGGAAAGGAGGGGAAGACAGAGGAAGTAGACATGGGGTCAGTTTAAGGACACGATAAAGGAGCACTGCAGGAGAGTTAAGTGCCTACAAGGGGTAGGACTAAAAATGCAGTGGTACATGTCTGCCACTTGACTACAGGCTTTTATTTTTCTGTTTATTGCAAGCTTATGCACAGTGACATGTACATTCATTATTTTTCTTACCATGCTCCCTCTCTCAAGAAAATTGTTCTTGTGTATCTGTTTCTCTATGCCTTCCACATTTGTGACCCTTAGTTCCTTGAGTCAGAAATTACCACTCTTCATAATTCGTTCTCCCGTCTTGGCTACCCTTCCAACTTCACAAACTCTGCCTTATCATGTGCTAAACAGACTTTCTTCTCTCTCAAACTCTCTATTCCTGTGAAATCCCCTTCTCTGCCTTACCTATATTTCCAGTCTTTCTAATTTCAACAACTTTCTCTGTTCCTTAGACATTAAACTTACGTTTCGCCAAACTAACACCTTTTGCAGTAATCTAATTCGTACCTCTCCTCCCAATATAGATGCCCCCGGTGTCTATTCTATTTCATGTTCCCTCTTGACCTCTCCAACACTTTGGAGAGACTGGCTGCTCTCTTTCTGACAGATTCAAAGAACACAAAAGAAGTGTTAGGCTCACCGACACCAATAATGTGCTTTTCTATCATGTTAGAGATCACAGTCCTCTGCTAAAACTGTCTACCCTACTTCTAGCTTTCACAGTCACTGTCTTGTTGAAGTTTCCCTTATACACAACTTTCCTTGTTTGAATAATAGTCCTGACTGTCTCTGTTGATGCCTTCCTTTCTCATTACATTGTCAAATGCTCCAAACTTCATAACACTCATGACTTAACCTGATCTTTTCTTTCCCTCCTTTCTGTACCTCTTCTCGTTTCCTATTTTTCCTTAATTTTTTTTCTTTTTTTCCTCTGCCTAAGTGTGCTCTATAAGTCGGTTGTCATCCCTCTCTTCTGCATTTTTGGTCTTACCCCTTGTGGGTCCTTAGCTCTCCTGCAGTGCTCCTTTTTCTTGCTCTTAGACTGACCTCACTTCTACTTCCTCTACATCTTCCCCTCCATTCCTCTACTATTGCTATTACCTTTACTTTTGCCTCCCTTCACCTTTCACTCCCCTTTCTCTGTTGTGCCACTAAAATACTCTCCCTACTTTCTATTACCACTATTTCTCCTATTACTATTACCTCTACTTCCTCTTCTTCCTCTCTTGTTACCATCCTTGTCCTGCTCCCCTATATATATTAGCTGCCTCACTCTTTTCAATTAGTGTGACTTTGTAAATGGTCCAAGTCAGAATGAAACATTGTTGTAAGCTTCTTTTTCCTTAACACATCGGGCGTTTCCCACCAAGGCAGGGTGGCCTGAAAAAGAAAAACTCTCATCATTCACTCCATCACTGTCTTGCCAGAAGCATACTTACACTAGTTATAAAACTGCAACATTAACACCCCTGCTTCAGAGTGCTGGCACTGTACTTCCCATCTCCAAGAATCAAGCCCGGCCTGCCAGTTTCCCTGAATCCCTTCATAAATGTTACCTTGCTTACACTCCAACAGCATGTCAAGTCCTAAAAACCATTTGTCTCCATTTGCTCCTATCTAACATGCTCATGCAGGCTTGCTGGAAGTCCGAGCCCCTCACACACAAAACCTCCTTAACCCCCTCCCTTCAACTTTTCCTAGGCTGACCCCTACCCCGCCTTCCTTCCACTACAGATTTATACACTCTCGAAGTCATTCTATGTTGTTCCATCCTCTCTACATGTCTATACCATCTCAATAACCCCTCCTCAGCCCTCTGGATAATAGTTTTGGTAATCCCACACCTCCTCCTAATCTCCAAACTATGAATTCTCTGCATTATATTCACACCACACATTACCCCCAAACATGACATCTCCACTGCCTCCAGCCTTCTCTTTGTTGCAACATTCACCACCCATGCCTCACACCCATACAAGAGCATTGGTATAACTATACTCTCATATATTCCCCCTTTGCTTCCATGAATAAAGTTATTTGTCTCCACAGACTCCTCAGTGCACCACTCACCCTTTTCCCCCCTCATTGATTTGATGATTTGCTTTATCTTTCATAGACCCATCTCCGTGGGTCCACTCCCAAATATCTGAATACATCTCCTCCATACTCTCTCCCTCCAATTTGATATCCAATCTTCCATTACCTATTTTTTTTTTTGTTATCCTCATCACCTTACTCTTTTCTATATTCACTTTTAATTTTCTTCATTTACATACCCTACCAAACTCATCAACCAACCTCTGCAACTTCCCTCCAGAATCTCTCAAAAGCAGTGTCATCAGCCAAGAGCAATTGTGACAACTCCCACTTAGTGTTAGATTCTTTATCTTTTAACCCCACACCAACACCTGACCATTCACTTCTCTTACAACTGCATCTATAAATATTCTGAACAACCATGGTCACATCACACATCCCTGTCTAAGGTCTACTTTTACTGGGAAATAATCTCCCTCTCACCTACATACTCTAACCTGAACCTCACTATTCTTGTAAAGACTCTTCAGTGCTTTCAGTAACCTACCTCCTATTCCTTAAATTTGCAACATCTGCCACATTGCTCCCCTATCCACCCTATCATACCCCTTTTCCAAATCCATAAATGCCACATAAACCTCTTTACCCTTATCTAAATGCTGTTCACCCATATGTTTCACTGCAAACACTCCATACCCTTCCTAAAGCCTCCTTGTTCATCTGCTATCCTGCTTTCTGTTTTACTCTTAATTCTTTCAATAATAACTGCCATACACTTTACTAGGTATACTCAACAGACTTGTTCCTTTATAATTTTTACACACTTTTGTCCCCTTGCCTTTATACAAAGGAATTATGCATGCTCTCTGCCAATCCTTAGATACGTTACCCTCTTCCATACATTTATTAAATAAAAACACTAACCACTAAAACTATATCCCCACCTGCTTTTAACATTTCTATCTTTATCCCATCAATCCCAGCTGCTTTACCCCCTTTCATTCTACCCACTGCCCCATGCACTTTCCCTACACTCACAACTGGTTCTCCCTCACTCTTATACGATATTATTTTTCCTTGCCCTATACACAAAATCACAGCTTCCCTATCTTCAACATTTAACAATTCCTCAAAATATTTCCTCCATCTTCCTGATACCTCTAACTCGCCATTTAATAACTGTCCTCTCCTATTTTTAACTAACAAATCCATTCATTCTCTAGGCTTTACCAACTTATTAATCTCCAAAATTTTCTTATTTTCAACAAAATTTGTTGATAACATCTCACCCACTCTCATTTGCTCTCTTTTTACATTGCTTCACCACTCTCTTAACCTCTCTTTTTCTCTCCATATAATCCTTGCATCACTTCTACTCTGTAATAACCTCTCATATGCTAATTTACTCTCTCTTACTCTCTTTACATCATTCCACCAATTGCTCTTCTTCCTTCCCGCACCCATTTTCCTGTAACCACAAACTTCTGTTGAACACCCTAACACTGTATTCTTAAGCTTACCCCATACATCTTCTACCTCATTGCCTATACTCACACTAGCCCCTCTGTCCTCCAACAATTGTTTATATCTTACCCTAACTGCCTCCTCCTTTAGTTTATAAACTTTACCTCTCTTACTTGATGCTTCCATTTTCCTTGTATCCCATCTACCTTTTACTCTCACTGTAGCTACAACTAAAAAGTGATCTATCTGTGGCCCCTCTATAAACATGTATATCCTGAAGTCTACTCAACAGTCTTTTATCTACCAATACATAGGCAAACAAACTACTGTCATTATGCCCTGTATCATATCTTGTATACTTATTTATCCCCCTGTTTTTTTTTTAAATGTGTTACCTATAACCAAACCGCTTTCTATACAAAGTTCAATCAAATGCTCCCCATTATCATTTACAACTGGCACCTCAAACTTACCTACCACACCCTTTCTAAATGCTTCTCCTGCTTTAGCATTTAGGTCCTCTACCACACTCTCCCACTTGGCTCAAAAGTTCCTACACACTCGCTTAACATCTCCCAAAATCTCTCTCTCTCTCTTTCCTCTACACTCCTCTCTTCTCCAGGTGCACACACACTTATTATGACCCACTTTTCACATCTGACCCTTATTTTAATCCACATAATCCTTGAATTTATTCATTTATATTCTCTCTTCCCTCTCCATAACTGATCCTTCAACATTATTGCTACCGCTTCCTTAGCTCTCTCAAATACTCCTGACTTAATACCGTGTGTGAGTTGTGTATAGACCTAGTCACAGACAGGGCCGTGGGAGCGTTGACCCCCAAAACCCTCTCCAGGTATACTCCAGACCCCAATCTATTCCTCCAACCACATCTACTGATTATGTTCCCTAATGTATTCATGGTCTTTAACCACTATTACATATCATATATATTTAAAAGGTTTGTCATGTAGGGAAATCGTATACTGTACAGTATACTTACTAGGAAAGGAGACTTAAAGATACCCTACCTCTCTTGAATGCCGAATGTGATCATACCTTAACGAGTTCACAATGTAGAATTTAAGCAAAACTGTTGCTGTGAATGAAGTACTATGGGATGGTGGTGAGGGTGTCAGTTGTAGTTGTCTTCAGTAGTATATAATGTGATAATGAGGGCTAGCTTTCATGTAAACTGTGTCGTGACTAACATGTCTGGTGTCCACGCGGTGGCAGGCTACCACTGGGATTGCTCAGATTGGGCACGACCCTCCCAGAATCCACTTCCTAACATCATGGAGGTCCCTGGAGGTGAAGTGAGAGATTCTTCATCATACCATTCCAATGAATCAAATGAATCTATTGTAGTGGAACCACCAAAAAACCAGCCTTTGATGCCACCAGGTGGGTTTTTTCTGTAGAACCTTGGTTTGTGTGAGGTAATCACAACTATGTACGTGTTTAACATAACTGTAGTGTTGACTTACAATGGTAAATATTTTCCTAGTAGTCTTGCCCAGAATATCATTATTTAGCAGTTTGTTAGCGAAATTATTTAAATTTTATTGAATCGCTAAGCAAATTTTACCAGCTTTTTTTTTTTTTTTGGGGGGGGGGTGAGGCAATAAATGATTATCCTGGGTAGTTAAGTTATTAGTGTTTATCTCTAATAGAGTATCCTAACAAATATGTTGTATTTATTAGTGCTTAAGAAATAAATACACAATCATATTTCATTGTTGTCTTTGCAGTTGAGGGCCCTGTAGACCCTGGTCGTGACATGGAGACCTTGCCTGCTGATGAGCTTATCAGTGAATGTGATACAGAATTTGAACTAGAATCTCGGCCTGATCTGGATACTTCTCAGCTTCTTGATCCTAATTCTGATGCTGGTGCAGAATCAGACACATCCTTGTTTACTCCACAGCCACAAAGGTAGAGTTTTCTTCTTATTTATATATATTTTTTTATTAACACATCAGCCGTTTCCCGCCAAGGCAGGGTAACCCCAAAAAAGAAGAAACACTTTCGTCATCATTCACTATCACTCATGCCAGTCGCACCTGTACTACAGTTAAACAGCAACATATCTCCACCCCTCCTTCAGAGTGCAGGCACTGTACTTCCCACCTCAAGGTCTCAAGTCCTAACCAGTTCCCCTGAATCCCTTCATAAATGTTACCTTGTTCACACTAATAGCACATCAAGTCATAAACCTTTGCCTACACTTGCTCCTATCTAACATGCTTACACATGCTTGCTGGAAGTCTAAGCCCCTCACACACAAAACCTCCCTTACCCCCTCCCTCCAACCTTTCCTAGGATGGCCTCCTATCCTGCCTTCCTTTCACTACAGATTTATACACCCTCTAAGTCATTCTACTTATTTCCACCCTTTCTAAATGTCTGAACCACCTCAACAACTCCTCCTTAGCCCTTTGGATAATACGTTTAGAAACCTTACACCTCCAAATCTCCAAGCTATGGATTCTCTACATAATATTCACATTGCACATTGCCCTCATACACAGCTCCACTGCCTCCAGCATTCTCCTTGTCGCAACATTCACCACCCACCCCTCACACCCATGTAAAAATGTTGGTACCACCAAACTCTCATACATTCCCCTCTTTGCTTCCATGGATAACATTCTTTGTCTCCACAGACTCCTCAGTATACCACTCACCTTTTTTCCCTCATCAATTCTGTAATTCACCTTGTCTTTCATAGACCCATCTGCTGACAAATCCACTCCTAAATATCTGAATACATTCACTTCCTCCAAACTCTTTCCCTTCAATCTGATATCCAGTCTTTCATTACCCAAATTTTTTTTATTATCCTCATTACCTTGCTCTTTCCTGTGTTCACTTTTAATTTTTTTTTTTACATACCCTTCCAAACTCATCCACCAGCCTCTGCAACTTCTCTTCAGAATTTCCCAAAAGCACAGTGTCATCAGCAGAAAACAACTGTGACAATTCCCACTTTGTGTAAAATTCTCGATCTCTTAATCCCACACCTTTTGCCAAGACCCAAGCATTCACTTCTTTTACAACCCCATCTATAAATACATTGAACAACCATGGTGACATCATGCATCCCTGTCTAAGGCCTACTTTTATTGGGAAATAATCTCCCTCTCACTTATATACTCTAACCTGAGCCTCACTATCCTCATAAAAACTCTTAACCGCTTTCAGTAACCTACTGCCTATTCTGTGCACTCGCAAAATCTACCACATTGCTCCCCTATCCACCCTTTTATAAAATGTAATTTAGTACAGGAGTCCCTCATTTTATGCTGCAGATGTGTTCCAGGCATAAGGAAGGTGTACTAAGCTCAGTTAAGACCATAAATACTTAATTCCTCATAATAAGAATCTTCACTCTGCTTTGCCCACCATACCGACTGCATACAGTGAATGTACATCTCTCATACAGAATTACCAATAAAAATAAAATACCTTATAATAACAAATTTACAAAATGAAAATCTCCATAGAGAAAGGCAAACATGAATAATCATACTTAACCACAAAATGGCCTTCTGAAAAAAAAAAAAGATGATCAAATCACATTGATTATGAAGCTAACAAATTCTGGGGTTTGACTACAAAACAATGCAATTAATACAGAATTTTTTTTAATCATCATATGAACCCAACCCATAAGAGAAAGGCCATATTTAGGTATTAGTAAGACCTTTCCAATCAATTTTACCAAGGGTGAACCAGAAATGGTAAACTGGAAATTTACTTTCAGGAAAAATCCATAGTTGGGTTAGCTTTCCAATATGTTTTCTAGTCACATCTCCGTGCTTTACTCTAGTTAATACTGTCACTCTTAAAAATGAATGCTAATGAAAAAACAAAAAATCAGCCTAGGAAATCTAGCAAGCACATTGTGAATAAAATCGTATGATTAGCTTCCAAGTTAGGCACTGTGTGCTAAGCTAAAATAAAATGAAATGTTGCCACTGTTCCCCACAACAGAGTGGAGTGCCGACAGTGATACTCTTGGACTCCATGAAAGGTTGAATTAACCAGGTGCCAAATGATCTACCAGGTCAGAGTGCTTAATGATTTACCAGCTCAAACCATTCTTCAGCTTTCAATATTTACTTCCTTCAAACCACCCCTCCTGGTTGAGTCTGGTCAGTCGTAACTTTATACTGAAGGAAGTTAAAGTTGACACAGAGCGCTATTAGACCGAAGACGTTTTGGAGAGGTAGTAGGAGGTTGTGGTTGTCTGTGAGCCTCTGTTTCAGAATGGTGGAAGTAGATTATACTAAACAGTTGTTCAGTAGAGGTGTTGCAAAAGAATCCCAATTCCAAGACACCAAAGTTAGTGAGTAAATATGTAATAAATACATATGGAGGCTTTACTGCAGAGTATACGAAGATGGGATAGTTAGGAAGGCCAACCAACTTCAATTATTTGGATTAAGAGCCCTATACTCTTCAAGTATAGCTGATTAGTAGAGTGCTCAGCTTTCACAACTGAATGTACCTTGGCTAAATTCCCAGTGAGATGAGACATGTAGGCAAATCATCTCCTCACACCTATTGCCATTTTGTATCTGGCACTGTATATATAGGAACCTTGGTGATAGTTGGCATCCTGGTGGGTGATCTTACATCTCAGAGCTTGGCCTCGAGAAACAGCAGCTCGTAGTCTCTAAAATTCAAGTTACCATATATAAAAGCAATAGTGTCACTTTACAATACACATTTTAATAAAAAAAAAGTCTGAAAATGCTTAATCTAGATAAATAGAATTTTTACAGAAAATACTTACATTAAATATAATATAATATAATCAAAATAGAGCTCAGCTGGATATAATGTTTGAAATTATATTTTGTCACTAATGCAAAAAAAAATAAGAAAAATTAACTACTGTATTAAGGAATACTTAGCCATGTTATTGTTATTTGCAATAAAGCACTAAACCTGTCTGTGTGTCATACAGTACCCAGAGGAATGGCCAAATAATTAATTTTGATCCAAGGGAAGAGTAACTCCAATTCCTTGAATCAAGAGCTCCTCACAGGCATCAAGGTACATCCCTGCATGAAAGGAGACCTGTATCATTGCATAATTATCTTTTCAACTTCATTCCATTTAACATGACACATCAACCCATCCTCTCCAAATATGTTTTGACTAATGCTGTATGGCCCTCTCTAGTTTAGCACTTACTTTGATTATATTATTATTATATTGACTAAGCCTCAGCATTCCTGCATTATATGCAAGGTTACATTTGTACACATCTTCATCAAGAGCCTTTTTTTAATTTTACTTTTTAATTTAATAACTAGTATAACTAAGTATAGTATATTAATGTGTGTAAATGAGTGTGCACAAAATTTGCATCTATAATTTTAAGTGTATATTTTTAGATATTATACACACAGTATTATTATTTTGTGCAAATATTACATTTCTCAAAACACTTGACTGCCAATTTCTCACAAACACTTTCATACAAAATAAGCTTCTTATAAAACTCCAGTGACACTATGTGGTAGTAACTGTCTTGTCTGGGCTTGATCATTCATTATTGCCTGCTAGTGGGTAAGAATATGGTTATGAGTAGAGAAAATTTCTGACTACTGGTTGCCCTGCACTTGCAGCTCTCTAGCTTGTTTGAACAACTAATCACCTGATAATAGTCTCTTATATTTATTCAGTGCGAACAGAAATTCTTTTACCCTGTTGCTCAGTACTCATATGTAAATACCTGTACCTTTAATAAGCAAATTTATTTTGCCAAAGAATATCTAAGCAAACACCTCAGTATGTTAGTGTACCTATGATGAAGGTTAAATATTTTTCTTGCTTTGCTATTCATGGTAAAATAAAGGCACTTAGTATGGTAAACCTTTAACCCTTTGACTGTTTTCGACGTATAAATACGTCTTACGAGCCAATGTTTCTGACGTATATATACTCAATAATTCTAGCGGCTTCAAATCAAGAGGGAGAAAGCTGGTAGGCCCACATGTGAGAGAATGGGTCTGTGTGGTCACTGCACACCACATAAAAAAAATCCTGCAGCACACATTGCGTAATGAGAAAAAAAAAACTTAATCGTTTTTTTGGAATAAAACACCGACTTTGAGGTGTATTTTCGTATAGTATTTATCGTTGTATTCGCGTTTTCATGGTCTTAGGTGATAAAATGGAAAATATATTACAGAAATAGAGATGATTTTCATTACTTTGACGATGAAAACGACCTTGAAACTGAGCTCAAAGTAGCGGAAATGTTCGATTTTTACCAATGTTCAGGAGTAAATAAATCACACCACATGTCCAATACACGTCAACTGGGGAGTCTGATATTCTTTCACTAGTGCACTGATATTATTTATACCATTTTTACAATAATGCAGTAGTCTGCATAACAGTAAATTTTGTATTTTTTTGTATGAATTATTTATTTATTATCACACTGGCCGATTCCCTCCAAGGCAGGGTGGCCCGAAAAAGAAAAACTCTCACCATCATTCACTCCATCACTGTCTTGCCAGAAGGGTGCTTTACACTACAGTTTTTAAACAGCAACATTAACACCCCTCCTTCAGAGTGCAGGCACTGTACTTCCCATCTCCACGACTCAAGTCCGGCCTGCCGGTTTCCCTGAACCCCTTCATAAATGTTACTTTGCTCACACTCCAACAGCACGTCAAGTATTAAAAACCATTTGTCTCCATTCACTCCTATCAAACACGCTCACGCATGCCTGCTGGAAGTCCAAGCCCCTCGCACACAAAACCTCCTTTACCCCCTCCCTCCAACCTTTCCTAGGCCGACCCCTACCCCGCCTTCCTTCCACTACAGACTGATACACTCTTGAAGTTATTCTGTTTCGCTCCATTCTCTCCACATGTCCGAACCACCTCAACAACCCCTCCTCAGCCCTCTGGACAACAGTTTTGGTAATCCCGCACCTCCTCCTAACTTCCAAACTACGAATTCTCTGCATTATATTCACACCACACATTGCCCTCAGACATGACATCTCCACTGCCTCCAGCCTTCTCCTCGCTGCAACATTCATCACCCATGCTTCACACCCATATAAGAGCGTTGGTAAAACTATACTCTCATACATTCCCCTCTTTGCCTCCAAGGACAAAGTTCTTTGTCTCCACAGACTCCTAAGTGCACCACTCACTCTTTTTCCCTCATCAATTCTATGATTCACCTCATCTTTCATAGACCCATCCGCTGACACGTCCACTCCCAAATATCTGAATACATTCACCTCCTCCATACTCTCTCCCTCCAATCTGATATTCAATCTTTCTTCACCTAATCTTTTTGTTATCCTCATAACCTTACTCTTTCCTGTATTCACCTTTAATTTTCTTCTTTTGCACACCCTACCAAATTCATCCACCAATCTCTGCAACTTCTCTTCAGAATCTCCCAGGAGCACAGTGTCATCAGCAAAGAGCAGCTGTGACAACTCCCACTTTGTGTGTGATTCTTTATCTTTTAACTTCACGCCTCTTGTCAAGACCCTCGCATTTACTTCTCTTACAACCCCATCTATAAATATAATATATTGTATGAATAAAATATCAAAATAGAAAGCAATAATAATATAAGAGGGGCCTAGAGATGTGACTAATGAACAGAGCATATGTTATTTTAGTGCCACGAATGTCTACCTTGTTTATTCTGGACCCTGTTTTGAAATTGGCATCTTTTTTAATTTGCGTGAAATTGGCCAAATTGCCAATTTCTGACCACCATATTGGGTAGTCCAAGTTAGTAAATGGGAGGTTTCTTGTACTCAGCTGATAGATAAAATGGAGTTCTAAAGAAATAGCTATGAGTTTGGTCAACTGGAACAATGGAATTGGCTGAAAATAGGGATCAAAGTCTGCGAAATCACCGATACGCATATGTCGCCGAGACCGCTAACTTCACGGGAGCATAATTCCATGAGTTTTCGACCAAATTTCGAACTTTTGGTGTCATTACCATCGGGAAAAGATTATTATTTCATAAGAAAAAATAATTTTTTTTTTTTCAAAAATTGAGCGACATAGAATGACAGTTTCAGAAAGGGGCCTGAAACAGTCAAAGGGTTAATGGACATTTTACTTATGTTGGCTTTATTAAGTCAAACTTTTATGTCTCACCACAGTAGTTAACATTTGGTGAATGAGAGTTAGCGACACATGGAAGCACAGCCTGTCTAATGGTCAGGCATAAGTTCATTTTTTTTGGGGGGGGGGGGGGAGAATTACCTGTTTATGAAGTGGTTAGCTGCTGACAGCTCCCTGTTTCTATTTGATGGTGATTTGTGTTTGTTCAATTGATGTTTATAGGTATCTCCTCCATATTCTGTCATCCTCCTTAATTACCAGCCTTGCACTGTTGTACACAATGATATGTGCAGATGTAATGATGTATGATAGGCATATTGCTGGTGTTATAGGTTATACAGATATACAGTACCTGTATTCCAGAATTCCTGTTTGGATGTTACATAATGTTTCACCCACGTGGAATACTATCAGGCTGGTAATTAACATGACACATCAGAGCTAGGAGGAAATGCCTAGAAACAACAATTATACAGACAAAATACAATCACATCCTGGGTGTTTTCAGTCTCACACTTCACCTTATGCAGCTCACTCTTGAAATACTTAGACCCACACTTAACTTGATAATTTTAAGCCTACACCTCACTCCATTTCTCACTATTTTCCAACACATCTAATCAGCTGTGATGGGATAAATATTCGAGTTGGCAAGTGTCTTTCAGCATCTTGGAAATGGGAGGCAGTTAAGTTTTATCAAAGCAGAAGTAATTGCACAGATTAGACAATCATTCAAAACCATGAAAATCAGGTGGTGGTGGGTGGGAAAGCACAGGATATACTGAAAGATCGCCATGTGGAAGAAGGCAAAAAGAGTACTAGACAAGAGTACAATATAAGAGTCAAAGGAAGGAGAGGGAGGTGAAGGTGCTGAGGTCAGTGTGTCCTCAAGGGTGTCCTAGAGTGGTAGCTGGGTTATTAGAGGCATGAGATGATTCCTGCCTCATCATTCATTGTGGTATGGCATTTTACATTCGAGCAGTTCAGACCTTCAGTCCCTCATATCTCCTTGTCATTTCTATTCATTGCTAGCTGTGCCTCATCTTCAGTAGACACAAAAGGGTTGTCTTTCTGTAGTTCTAGACCTTTCACCTTTTTTCAGGTATTTGACATTGTATGACTTGCTCTTGTAAAACCACTGGCAGTTTGTTGACCTGCATTAGTTATTAATGGCCAATAACCTGTTTTTAGTCATACCACAGTTAAACGTCTGATCTGCTTTCCTTCATTGCTTTCGGTTGTGGGAAATGGTCTTACTTTATAACTTATTAGTAACACCTAATTTATACATGTTCATCTCATGGAGGGGCACCTGGTATCATTTGTCATGTTAACAGTCCAACAGATTTTGATTGATTGTTCCATTCTATGAAGAACATGCTTACTCTGTCTGTTATTTTCTAATTTAGTAGTTATTCTAAAAGCAAAATCTCCATGAATTACTGTATATACAGTATATTAAAGCAGATAAGAGGAAGCTCAAGAAAACATTAGCAACTGGGTAAAAGTAAAAATGTGCTAGTTGCCTTCCCTTCATAAGGGATGCCTCAATATTGTTAAGAGCTCTTGAACAAAGGAACTGAAGCTGCCCTCCTCTTTCTTGGATCAAACTTGGTTATATCCTATTCTGCAGAACCTGTATGACCCTACTATGGGTTTAGCATTTCTCCCAAATATAAAATTTATTGCCTTAAAAGTTGTTTTGTTCTTATATTATGCCTGTTAGCTCTCAGACACAATTTTGACATGCTGTTGGAGTGTGAGCAGGGTAATACATCTTTGGAGAGACTTGGAGAAATCAGGCTGAGAAGTAGAGTGCCTGCACTGTACAGGCTAGGTTAAAGAAAACACAAGTCAGATATGTGACTCTTGGTAGGGCATTAATACCCCATACACATTTCGTCAAACACATACATTTTCTTTCTACAGATATGAGACTCACCCCAACCAATACCTTCCACATTACCAAATTGGCAGTGAAACAGAAACAGAAGATGAGAGAAGCAAGCTATTAAATACACTTGATGACCCTTACAGTGTACATTACCAGCCTGCTCCAATCAGTCATCTCCCAGAGGATCGAGATGGTGTTACGTATTCTCCATATCGAATTCGAAGCAATCGCAGACACGATACTGTGAAACGATTTAGCGAGTTTGGAGGCGATATGTCTGTGATTTCCGGTATGGAAGATGAAGAGGAGGGAGCCTCCCTTTGGGGAGGTGAAGCTTCAAATACATCTGCATCAGACCTGGATAATGTCTGTGATATTGAGGACTCAGAAGTAAACTCCGAATTTGAAAATGATGATAAAACAAAGAAGTGAATAATGAGTACAGTATTAGTTCAACTGGGTTCATAGTTTTTTTGAATCCTTCAGAATATGACTGACCATATAAACTTGAAATGTTTTGAGTGAAGCGCACAAATGGAACTGTATGAATGGCATATTTTTATACAATGAAAAATCAAAACATCATTGAGTCTGCAAACTTTTTAAATAAAACCTAAATGATGGACAAATGTATTAAACTAAGAGTGAGTGACAAAGAAACTGACAGGATTGTCTATTTTTCAGCTGCCATTTCTTAGTGCCTGTATGCTGATTAAGTAAAATAAGGATTCAAATATAATATGTATATCTTCCAGTGTGCCTAATATCCCAAGGTCTTCATTAATTCATATAAAGACAGAATGGTTCTCATATTTTCATGTGTAATTCTGAATTGCAATTCCTTGGGCAAAGTGCCAATTTTTTATCTGTTAAAAGAAAAGCAAGGACTATTTATGTATAATGTCCGTAAATTAGACCTACTAGCACTGGATATGATCATTTTTGTCATCCAGGAAGTGACAATTAGAAATGTTTCCTTGGAGTACTATGTATAGTCTTAAGGTCTATGGTGCTACTGGAGGAGACAGTGCAACAATACCTGGCAGACAAGGCAGTTTGCTGGAGGAGGCGAGTGGTCCATGTAAGAGTGTTGTGTATATAAATGTGTAAATACAAAACTTATATTTCATTGTATATAACTTCCAAAATGTGTTCCACAGAACGTTTATATTTTTTGCAGAGCAAACAGACAGGGTTAGATCTTTCAGGTATGTTTTGCTGCCTGCGATGATTCTGGGTATGCAACCAATCACAGCTCGGCTGAATGATCCACTAGTCTGCATTAGATGTAGCAGTCTTTTAGTATTTTTGTCATTTCAATAACTTGCCACTCAAAACCAATTTCATCTATTAAAGTACTGTACAGTATTATTTTATGGTCACTGAGTTAGAGAATTTAAATACTGTATAATTAACTTTTTTGGAAACATTTTATTTAACAGTACAGTACTTGAAGAAATTACTGTTTTGTGAGGGTATTGCATTTTTTAATCTACCATGTGCCAAAGGCAAGTCATTTATTTCCACAAGTGTCCTTGAACAGAGCAGAACAGATTTGGGTCACTGATTGACGAGAGACATTTTACTTTGTGTCTGATACGCTGTGGTATGATGTTGGCCCATGTTCTAGCTGCCCTGAGTGTTTCTTGCAACTATTAAGATTAACTGGAATTTAAGGGCTTTTTGTATGAAGTATAATTATGTATTTTTTGTATTTCATTAACAGTTATTAATCTGCTCCATTGTAAATCTCTAAACAGCTTCCCAGAAAAGGCTTCCTCTATCTATGGAATGTTTTTTTTTATACAATGCGTAATTATTCAGTTGTATACACATGCATTGTAACTGGAGATTCAGATAATTTTCCTTGTGTGACGAGGCCTGCAAATATGGCTCAGAAGTACAGTAAAGTGATTAATTTATATTTTTCTGGTAATTATGTGGTTAAATTTAGGGTTACTGATGGATGCTGCATGTTGCTGGCCATGCCACATACAGTGTACTCAGAGTTTTTGCTGTTTTTCCAGCTGTCATATCCTCTTTACCATTCCGTTCCTGATAGGTTACTCTACTAACCGAAGTAATTGTGATAATAGCTGTACTCTGTAAAGGAGGAATTCATATTTTTACTGTGAACTAATACAGGAGTAATGGTTATATTAAAACACTTTTATGGATGAATGTATGGTTGCCATGGCAGCTATTGTTTTATACAAATTTTGTAAATAAACTTGTAATACTGTAACTTGTAATTATTTAGTATTTTTTGAAACCCTTATACATACAAAATATACAATACAGCCTCTTCTCACTTAGCAACATACTTGTTTACTGATGCCTCGGACTTATGACGGGCTCTCTGATCAGTATTTATACCTACATAATGTATAGAGCTGATTTCCTCTATTCTGTTTATTTCAATATACAGTACACTACTGTATAGACATTAAAAAATATATCAGGAATGTTATAAACAGTGCAAAGGTGACATTAAAACATCAAAGATGGTTGACACAAACCCACTACCATTATAGTATGCTCCTCACTTAGTGATGAATTCATTTAATGACGCAGTCTTAGAAACGGAACTCCATCGTTAAGCGAGAAGAGGCTGTACCATAATTCATAAATTCATGTTATTAATACAAAAGAAAATATCTAAAGTCAGTCATAGGTAATCCACAGGGCTGTTTGATTGTATATGTAGTATGGATATTAAGAACTAATTAATCAAAGGAACTGGTGCTACCTATTCCTTCCTTGAATCAAACCAGATATCTTGCATTCCCCTGACAGTGTGTGACCCCCTAGTGGGTTTAGTACTTTCCCATAAACATGCAATATTACTATGAATGAAAGTATGCTGGATGTCTAGCACTGAGTTTAAAAAAAGGGAGCAGCACATATGTGGGATTAAATCGGAAGTATCTGGGAGAATGAGAGCTAAAGGAGTAGCTGTAATATTAACCCTTTCACTGTTACAACCCCCAAAATTAAAAATCCCATCAGTGTTACAATTTACAAAAAAATAATAATAATTCTCCATGGGGAAGTGGAGAAGTATCCTGGCTCATGTCATAACAGGCAACTAAAATGCTGTAAGGGGATAGTAACCCCTTCTCTTGCAAAAATTGTTAAATGTAAAAAGAACTTTATGAAAGTGTTTTTCTTTTGATCACCCTGCATCGGTGGGAGATGCCGGTGTGTTAAAAAAATAATTTTATCTTCTAAAATGGTAGAGAATCTCTTTCTAAATGCAATGACACAATAATAAAAGAGGGATTACGCAGGTGCAAAGTTGAAGGCTGGGAGCACTTATGGGGCTGTGATTCCAGCCATTTTAAGGCCTATTAGGCCAATTCCATTGCTCAAATCAACTTGGCTCTTGGCTATTATGTTTATTATGTCTTCCATTCTATCAAGCACAAGAAACTGCTCATTCAACCATCAGAACTACTCTAATTTGTGTAAAATTGGCCTAATTACAAACTTCTGGATGCTTTAGCATCCAGAAGATTGGTGTTAGGTCCTCTCGCTACTAGGTCCTATCTCTCCCTGCTCCACAAGCTTTATCAAACCTTGCCTTAAAACTACGTATGGTTCCTGCTTCCACTACGTCACTTTCTAGGCTATTCCACTGCCTGACAACTCTATGACTGAAGAAATACTTCCTAACATCCCTCTGACTCATCTGAGTCTTCAACTTCCAATTATGACCCCTTGTTTCTGTGTCCCATCTCTGGAACATCCTGTCTTTGTCCACCTTGTCTATTCCGCGCAGTATTTTATACGTCGTTATAACGTCTTCCCTGACCCTCCTGTCCTCCAGTGTCGTCAGGCCAATTTCCCTGTATTCTGTCTGTGGTCTTCTTTGCCCTTCCCCTATCTTCATGACTTTGCATTTGGTGTGGTTAAATTCAAGGAGCCAGTTGCTGGACCAGGCTTGCAGCCTGTCCAGGTCTCTTTATAGTCCTACCTAATCCTCATCCGATTTAATTCCCATTAACTTCACATTGTCTGCAAGCAGGGACACTTATGAGTCTATCCCTTCCGTCATGTCATTCACGTATACCAAAAACAGCAGTGGTCCTAGGATTGTCCCCTGTGGAACCCCGCTTGTCACAGGCGTCCACTCTGACACCTCGTCACGTACCATGACTTCTTGTTGCTTCCCCGTCAGGTATTCCCTGATCCATTGCAGTGTCCTTCCTGTTATGCATGCCTGGTCCTCCAGCTTTTGCATTAATCTCTTGTGAGGAACTGTGTCGAAGGCCTTCTTACAGTTCAAGGAAATGTGTGTGTGCTCGTGTGTGTGTGTGTACTTGCCTAATTGTGGTTGCAGGGGTCGAGACTCAGCTCCTGGCCCCCACCTCTTCACTTATCACTACTAGGTCCTCTCTCTGCTTCCTGAGCTTTGTCATACCTCATCTTAAAGCTATGTATGGTTCCTGTCTCCACTACATCACTTGCTAGGCTATTCCACTTCCTGACGACTCTACGACTGAACAAATACTTCCTAACATCCCTGTTTACCTGGAGTTTACCTGGAGAGAGTTCCGGGGGTCAACGACCCCGCAGCCCAGTCTGTGACCAGGCCTCCTGGTGGATCAGAGCCTGATCAACCAGGCTGTTGCTGCTGGCTGCACGCAAACCAACGTACGAGCCACAGCCCGGCTGATCCGGAACTGACTTTAGGTGCTTGTCCAGTGCCAGCTTGAAGACTGCCAGGGGTCTGTTGGTAATCCCCCTTATGTGTGCTGGGAGGCAGTTGAACAGTCTCGGGCCCCTGACACTTATTGTATGGTCTCTTAACGTGCTAGTGACACCCCTGCTTTTCATTGGGGGGATGGTGCATCGTCTGCCAAGTCTTTTGCTTTCGTAGTAAGTGATTTTCGTGTGCAAGTTTGGTACTAGTCCCTCTAGGATTTTCCAGGTGTATATAATAATGTATCTCTCCCTCCTGCGTTCCAGGGAATACAGGTTTAGGAACCTCAAGCGCTCCCAATAATTGAGGTGTTTTATCTCCGTTATGCGCGCCGTGAAAGTTCTCTGTACATTTTCTAGGTCGGCAATTTCACCTGCCTTGAAAGGTGCTGTTAGTGTGCAGCAATATTCCAGCCTAGATAGAACAAGTGACCTGAAGAGTGTCATCATGGGCTTGGCCTCCCTAGTTTTGAAGGTGGCTTGTCTGAGTTTTCAGCTTCCAATTGTGACCCCTTGTTTCTGTGTCCCCTCTCTGGAACATCCTGTCTCTGTCCATCTTATCTATTCCACGCAGTATTTTGTATGTCGTTATCATGTTTCCCCTGACCCTCCTGTCCTCCAGTGTCGTCAGTTCGATTTCCCTCAACCTTTCTTCATAGGACACTTCCTTGAGCTTCGGAACTAGCCTTGTGTGTGTGTGTGTGTGTGTTTGTGTGTGTGTGTGCGCACTAATAACTCATTACAGTGGTGACTGGGTGTGGATGTGTGAATGGGTCATTACTTCGTAATTTGTTCATGATTGTGACCCTGTGTAGATGGTTCATTACCTTTGTAACTTGGAAATGGTATAAAATACGTACTGACACAATGGAAATATAAACACATAAGCAGTACAATGTGATCCTTTACTGACAATGTTTCGCTCACACAGTGGGCTTTATCAAGTCCCAAACAGATCTATCTACCTAGGTGGAAGGTACATGAGTATTTATGGGATGAAGTCAGGTTGAGAATGCTGGGTCAGGTGGAGAATTGTCACATGCAGCATTTTTCACCTGACCCAGCATTCTCAACCTGACTTCATCCTATAAATACTCACGTACCTTCCACCCAGGTAGATCTGTTTGCAACTTTATAAAGCCCACTGTGTGGGTGAAATTTTGTCAATAAAGGATCACAATGTATTGCTTATGTGTTTATATTTCCACCTTTGTAACTTGTTCAGCTCTCAAAACTTTGGGGCCCAGTCCCTGGACCCATTATGTACCTCTGTAATCTTTTGACTATCAGTCACATGATGGGTATGGTGTGCATAATAAAGATATTAAACTTAGCAAACCACTCAAATCAGACTTCTTTCAACAACAATATTGATGAGTAGCTCCTAAAAACTTGTACAGTGGACCCCCGGTTATTGGCCATAATCCGTTCCAGAAGGTCAGCCAATATCCGAAATGGCCGATAACCGAATTAATATTTCCCACAAGAATTAATGGAAATACAATTAATCCGTTCCAAACAAATACAGTGGACCCCCGCTTAACGATCACCTCCAAATGCGACCAATTATGTAAGTGTATTTATGTAAGTGCGTTTGTACGTGTATGTTTGGGAGTCTGAAATGGACTAATCTACTTCACAATATTCCTTATGGGAAAAAATTCCGTCAGTACTGGTACCTGAACATACTACTGGAATGAAAAAAGTTCGTTAACCGGGGGTCCACTGTATATTCACAAAAATAATTTTTTTAACAATTATGTAAGTATTACATACCTTTATTGAAGGCTAATGCTGGCTTTTGGAAGATAGGGAGGAGGAAAGAGGGAGGAGTTAGTGTTTGGAAGCGGAATCCCCCTCCATAAAGACTTGATGTAGCAAAGCCTTCTCTGGGGTTACTTCCCTTCTCTGTCTTTTATTGCCACCAGGACCAGCTTGAGAGTCACTGGACCCCTGTCTCAAAAAATAACTGTCCAGTGCTCTGTTTCTGGCATCTCTAAGATTTCCCTGAAGTGGGACAGGGTTTTGTCACTAAACATGTTGCAGATATGGCTTGTTTCAGCTTTGTCAGGGTGGTGTTTCTCTATAAAAGCTTGCACCTTAGTCCACATTGCACACACCTCCTTAATCTCTGAAGAAGGTACCTCCTTCACTCCCTCTTCCTCCTCCTCTGAAGCAAGTTCCACAGCTGCAGTCTGTTGCTGTTCAAGTTGAAGCACTTACAGCTCTTCAGTGGTAAGCTCTTCCCTGTGGTCCTCCACCAACTCTTCCACATCCTTGGCACTCACCCCCAACCCCAGGGACTTCCCCAGTGCCACAAAAGAGTCCACAGGGTCGGCAGGGTCAGGGTGAGCCTCAAACCCTTCAAAATCCCTCTCTTGGACACAATCTGGCCACAGTTTCCAAGCAGAGTTCAAAGTCCTGGAAGTCACTCCCTCCCAAGCCTTACCTATAAGGCTTATGCAATGGAGGATAGTGAAGTGATTCCTCCAGAACTGTCTTAGGATCAACTGAGTATCCGAGGTCACTTCAAAGCACTTTTTAAACA